GAAATTATTAGTTGAATAATATGGACGAACAGAAAAGATAATTTTTTTAAGGCAGCTATATAGAAAATAATATGCAGTCTCAAAATTAGTCAGTTCATAATTTCAAATTATCAACCATGCATGTTCACTTAATAATTTATAGATGGACTTTCTCATTTCTTTCTCCTTGCATAATATGACATCACCACCAGTAATGGGAACACACACACACATATATATGTGTGTGTGTATTCGATCATATACTCTAGCTAGTAGGTCTTATAATTAGTTGAATATAGCTTTAAATGTGTTATTTTGGAAGTAACTCTTTAAAGAAAAAGCACTGCAAAATTAAATGGGTTATCTTATTACTACTCAGCCTCAGATTTAACAATAAAATTTTTATAATAATGTTAATTAAAAAATAAGCGATATATATTCAGCCTGGATGCTCCAGCTAGTAATTAAGAACAAAAATCTTAGCTTATTTACAAGATTTTAACTTGAAAAATCGTCAGTGTTTGTTAATTTTCCTTTACAAAATCTGAACAGAGCTAATAGACTAAGGAGACCCAAAAAAAAAAAAAAATCCATATTAATTAAGGTGTGCATACGTTAGGTAGGTCTGAACATATCAGTTTTTCTTCTTCTTCTTTTCTTTTTTCTTTTTTCTTTTTTTTTGCTTATACTAATAGTACTATTGCTCGTGGGACACATTATACATGGATATCAGAATCAGACATGCAATTGATTGTCCTGGTTAGCAGACTTCCCACAACAAATCGATCGAAGGTAGCTATCTTACTCCAATATATAATTCAAAGTGAATTCCTTTGCATTATTTTTCTTAGGTGAAATTGTATTCGTCGATATGGAACCCCCATAATTTTTTTTACATCTATTTTGCTAGATTTGATGTCTATTTCTAGCTAATATTACAACTTATATATACAATTTTACATATTCAGCTACTCGAACCTCCATCAACCAATAACTTTTATGAAACTATGAAACCTTTTTTTTATTTAACATAGAATATTGAGCACATGGGACTTGTCTTGCATTCCCAAATATCTATAAAGATGCCATATTAATTACTGGAAAGTTATTTATGTTGTGTCCACACAAAATGTGATTGCTAAGACAAGAAAACCCTTGACATCTTTTTCTCTATTTTGTTATAGAATATAATTATTAGCACAAAAATAAGCACATATAAAGGGTCACCAGCTATTTTTGTTAGTTTTTTTTAAAAAAAAACAGCAAAAAAAAAAAATACTTGGAATATCTAATCCTTTGAAATTTTAACTTGTGATTAATTTTGGACAAAAATAAAAATTTTTAGGATATAAAATTTAGGATTAAACTAAATGTGGTTTCTTTTTTAAAAAATGATGTTTTTTAATGATTGATATATTTTCAAAAATATAATCAACTTCTTATCATAGAATTTCTGAATCAATATTCATTTTAGATTTCTAGTTACTTTCAATATTAAGTGACGACTCTAAAGTTAATAATAACTCAAATCCTCAAACAAACAAAATTTTCAACCATAAATAATAATCATAAAATTTTTTAAAGTCCACAAATATCATCTAATTAAGAGCATACTTTTTTTTTCTCTCTCTCTGCCGAAATTCTCTTTTTTCTCTTTTCTTTTGTTGCCTACCACTTATGTTACAAATGAGTCTTTTATATTAAGTTATTCATGCAACTTAGTTTAAGAAATTAAATTCTTTTCCTTTTCTGTTTTTTTTCCCCTTGTTTATTTGTTTATTTATTTATTTACATGGATTTTGAGTCTCATGTAAGGAGGGATCCAATCCAACACTTTTATAGTTGGAAGATGTATTAAAAATTAATAATCGCATGAATAACTTTTTTTCTTAAATAGTCCTCATTTCCTTTCCTAATTCGTCATCATACAACTTTCAGGATTCAAATTAAGATCTCCAAATAAAAATGGAATAGCAAATTTTAACTATTGGGATGTACTGGGAATAATTAACAGTAGTAATATTTCTAAAAATTATTCATATCACACTTCAAATAAAAATAATACAATCACACACATATAATTATAATTATAATATATAATATCAACTTCCATTATGAACAAGCATACTGCATACGTCCATGTATACATGCACAAAAGTTAATTAGAAACAACCCTTATGTGTGCAAAGCCTGAAAGTGGATAGGGTAGAAATCCAATAAAGATGATGGTGGTAATAGGTCTGTGATGTTTCTTTTGGCATCTCAAGCTCTGAGTAATAGGGTGGTGTGTGAATGAGTAGTGTACAAACTTACTGTGACATAGAAGTACTGCTATTATATACATGGCTGAGTTAGGGAGGTAGCCAATCCTCTGTTAACACAGAGCCATCTTTAGCTGTAAACCTCGAGGGATGTTGCAAAAGACATGAAAATGGGATCCATTTCTTGTTTGTTTTTGTACAGCACTGCCACGTTCACTGATTCACCATAAATGGTATAAATTCAGCAGTTTATGGTTCAGTTCTGCCAAAATCCAACCTAGCTAGAAAAAAGATGCCAGTTAGGTTTTAATACTTCTTTCCTCTCATGTTTTGGATTTTCCCCTTATTTCTCGATGAAAAAGATACTGCATATCTTTAAATCCATCACACATTATTGTTTTTCATTCCTCAACTTCTTTCTGCCTTGATTACATTAAGTTGTCTTCTTTTTGTTTTTACTATGGGAAAAACATACACCAATGAAATACCTTTAAAGCCTTGTTTTAATATCCTCTCTCTCTCTCTTATTTATTTTTTAATTTTAGGTTCGGGAAAACTGAATTTAGAATCTTATTTATTTGCAAGGGTTGAAACCTCATGCTAGGTCCTAGAATTATAAATATATCGAATCTTAATCCGAATTCGATATAATTAAATAAATCTTATAAATAATTTTTTTGACTCGAATTCTATTATGATTCGAATTTATTAACTCATTTATTAAATGAATCAAATCCCGACCTACATTTGATCCGATTCGATTATAATCCAAACCAAAATTTAAAAAAATATATGTTTTCAATAAATATAATATTTTAAAAATATTAAAAATTTAAATGTGAGATTGGATTTAAATTTAGAGATTATTTATTATAAAGTTCAAATAATACATGTTCTTTTACGGTGACAATCGTGTTTTAAAAAAGTCATATAAGTTTCTTATCCTTTTTCTATGCAACTTCGTAAAAAACCTATTGTAATTTATTTACTTATGCATTAATCAATTATTAATTATTGTTTTCCTTTTTTTAATGTGCTTTTTTTTCTATGATAGGAGTATGGAGTTAACAATAAATATATTCAAAAGTTATTGTTCAATTCATTTCAAATTTGATGGTAAGAATCATAACATGTAAAATCAAATTTTTATGAATTAGAGATTTTAATATTGAAATGTTAGACATAAAAGTATAGCTCAAATTAAATGAGATTGTAGAGATAGATAATAGAGTGTTTTGCATGAACTCTTTTATAACACTTAAATCTTTAAATTTTGATCTCCACTACTTGTTTCTACACCTTCTCTCAATAAGTGTAATGACATGTGTGTGTGTGTGTGTCATTACATTTATTGAGAGGAGTTGTAGAAACAAGTAGTTGGAGATTAGAATTTGAGATACTAAAAAATTTGTATTATTAACAAATTGTCAAAAAATGATTTTTTTTTTAAAAAAAGCAATATTATTACTTATTTATTAATTTGATATTACTAATATTAGTAAAATGACATGTATTGATAAATTTTTGATGAAATAACTTTTTAAAAATACATTATAATATTAATAGATTTTCTTTTCTTTTCTTTTCTTTTTCTTTGCATGCCTTGATTTGTAACCCTGTCATTTTGAAATTTGAATTAACAAATATTGATTTTGTTATCACGTGAATAAAAAATAAAGATTATTTATTAGTTGTTTCTTTTAGTTTTATCATACTTCTTACTTAGTTTTTTCTTTTAATTTTATCGTACTTCTTACTGAGTTTAAGATAAATTTTTATTAAAATTATTTGATTTTATGTTTTTGAATTGATGGCATTTTGATTTTTTTTTGCAAAAATGATAGATAAAATATTATTTTAATATATTTTATTATATATGTAGTAGTTAAATTATATTTTACATTCAAGCATTTGATTATATATGTAATAAGTATAAATTTTCTATAAAAAACAGCAATAAATCTGATGGAGATGCTTTGCATTTGTTAGGATCCAATCCAAATTTATATTTTCAAAACTCAATTTAAATTCATAAGATTCGATCTAATTCATTTTATTAAAAAAATCGAATTCAAATCTTTTATGTTTCTATTCAAATCTAATTGGTTGACGGTCCTAATAAGCCTCCATGGATGATGACAAACAAAAAAGGATGGACTTGTATTATATGCAATTTATACGTATAAGTTGGCCCACATGTATCAACCGGCTATCATGTATCTTATATGTGTGGATAGAAACCTCACTTAGAATTGATCGTGTGAACTTAATTAATGAAGGATGTATGTCTAGTGAAGGCATGAGGCCATCTCACTTGTAGGGTCCTTGACTTTAGCAAATTAGATGTGTTAGAGCCATTGGTGAACCTTTTGTATGTCAGGTAGGTATAGCGTACGCCAAGTTTCTTTCTATATATTCATTTCTTAATATTGCACATACATCGGCAATCTTATAGGTATTTCAAATCCCTTGAAATACACTAAATTTGTTGCTCTTTTTTCACAAATCATTAGTATTTATAACATTCAGAATGCCAAGGGTACCATATATGACCCATTTCTAACCGCCAAATCACTTGTCTTGGTTTAATTGATGGACCATACTTGTTTATGTTTATGTATCAGCAACTTAACGGTTGAAGGCTTATGTATACAACTCTCCTGAAATGCTTAAAATTCACATAGCTATTGAGAGCTTCGGCCATTTGTTGGTCACTTTTACAAGAAAATAAAGGGCAAGATATGCATACAGAAATGCTATTCACCTGCTCCTCTCCTCAGGGTTCGAACTCCTAAATCTCAGTGTCCCATGGTTGGAACATGGATACACGTTGGGAGCTGAGCTTTGAATTGTCTAAAAAAGTTGATTTAGACTCGGTGCATTGGTTCAAGAATACTACATGAACCAAAAAACGATATGAGCTAGTATGATATATTAGCCTGCTGCTAGGCCAACTATCCAGTTCAGGCAAGGTTAAATTCTGACGTCTGAATACACCATCTTGTAAACAACGTGATCCCTATTATTTAATCCACAAAAATGGAATTCGAAAAATTCGAGGCAAGGAAATGGCATGTTATAATTAGGAAATAAGAAGCTGCCACACTGTCGGACCCGCTCCAGAAAGTTTAATTGAGAGCAGCCTTGAGTAAGACAGGCTTCCCATTCCACAGTGGAACGGGGACGGATTAATAAGGACATGATGGACAATTCCATGTCAAGAATGAAGACAACAAGAGAAGCGCCAGGCACTCACATGCACCATCCGGCAAAATATATGTGCATTAAATTAATGTGAAGGTTGATGACATTGATGCCTTAACTCGTAACAAGGAACCATCATATTGACAGGTAGTTCCTACGCAGCAACGAAATATGTTGACCCTTTATTTTTCTTTCTTTTGCTCCTATCTAAATCCTTGTGTGGCTGTTCATTTTTAATCGAGGGCAGACCTAGCCATGTGTTTGGAATAGCAAAATCCCATACAAAACAAAATGACATACTTTTGCGTAATGCCACCATATGTATGCATACACAACTTGATTCAACCTAACAAATTACAGAAGCAAAATTGCTTTGGAACAGCGTATCGTTTCGTACATTTTGTAATAATAAAGCAAACTTATTATTTTGCGAGCCAATAGATAATAAGAAACAACGTACAAGCAGCAATAACAGCAGACAGAATGAGAGTGTCTCTTGATCGCCGCCTTCTGATAGAACCTTCGAAAACAGAAGAACAACTAAATTGTTATAAAACTGAAGAATGTTGCAGAATATCAGGAAATAAGTGTTTATAATATGAACGGCTTTTGTCAAGTACCAAGAAGGCCACGAATAATTGGAAATTTGTCACTTAGAAGCTTCACTTTTCCTTGGACATCTCCAAAAAAACCCCTTTGAGAACCCAAAACAGCCCTGGTCGTTTGAGCTTGATTGATGACATCATCTATCTGTACAGACGTGAACCAACATTGTCAACTGATAAAGACCAAAGAAGTAAAGCCCTTCATGGAACGGTTATTGAAGAGGAATTCAGAATTCAAAAGTAAATCGCGTGACCTAAACTACAGAGACAACTTCAAGGTGTTTCAAGATTATCACTTTTGCATAGGACAAAGTCAATTCATTATGTGCAACATGTATGGCTGTATGAGTTCCCTTTTAATTTAGCCAATACAACAGGGTTCTCTGTAAGGACCACTTGGGATAACACATTGCAACTTGATTCTATATATGACACAAGGAAAAGAACATGGGTTTTTCGAATCTGCTCATTGCATTGTATGACAAATGATAATTCAGACAAGCGGAAATTAAAAAGTTCAAAAACAGCTATTTCCGAGTAGAATTTTTCTCAGTGGTAAATAACCAGAAAGTTTGGAGCAGTGCTTTTGAATAGATATCCGGTATATATAGTCACTAATGATGGTGGTTAACTTTATGCCTACTAATTGAGATCAGTGAGGCCACACACGCATTCCACAGCCAAATGTAAAAACATACAAATGTAGAACCAAGGTTTATCTCAATTCAATTTCAGGATTCCATCCAAAACCATGATAGGTCGATATTTAGGTAAATTGTTCCATGACATTGAACCCTTTATTTAAGAAGCAGGCATCAGAAAATCGATAGATACTAGGAACAAATATTAACAACTGCTCTTTAGTGAGTAACTGATGCTACGTTTGAGACTAGAAAGTAGTGAGGAAAGAGAATGGGACTATGGGAGGGATGAAAGCACAAGGGAAAATTATATTCTGCCCATGTGTTCGGGAAATGTGAAAAATGAGAGGAATGAAAATGGAAGTTTTTCTTTTTCTTTTTTTAAAAAAAAAAACATAACAAGAGGTGGAATGAAAATTATGAATGGTAACATTACAATTATGCCCATCACCTCATTTATTGAAGTTTAACTTCTAACTAGCAATCAGCTTCCCTTCCATTTTTGTCTTCATTTATTTCTACATAAGATCCGCTAATCAAATAAACCATATACTTCGAAATTTGCACACGGCATCTTTGACGTTTGATATCGCAATGTTCTACCACTATGTACAGATTTAATACGTCAATATCCACTTCTATGATTTTGGACAGTAGAACAACATGTGTATGTAACAAAGCTATGGCAATGCCACGCATCAATCCAGAAAGGAAAAAAACAAAGAATTTGAAGAGATAAACTGAAGGAGAGAATAGACAGGTGGCTCGTAAGAATTAGAAGTTGGATTGTGTAGGGATAAGAGAAACACTAGCTAATGAAGGGGAATTATGGTTATGTTTGATGTGAAGTCTTTCTCTCCAAATAAGAGAGATTAGATGTGGTGGGCATGGAAAGAATACTTCTTTCCAAATTCCATTCCTTCCATAGTTCCTTGTTCTGCAGGGATACATAGAGTGGAAAACCAAATTCCTCACCATATTTCCCTTCCACATATTTTCACTCCCCAAAATCCACCCCTGCCCGACACATTGTTAGTAAACTAGAATTCTAGAAGCATTAACCTTTGCACTGTTCACAAACCAAGCTTTTAAGCTGACTAGTGTACCTCCTACTCTGCAAAGTGCAAGTGGAGCAAAGCTGTATCAGGGTTCAAACCGAATTAAAGGTGGTACCGTGGTGGTGGTGGTGATTATTAGATTTATGGGTCTAGTGACAGCTAAGTAAAACTGGTGTACATCAGGGGAAAAAAAAATAAACTCCTACTATTCAGTCAATTACATACGTTGCTGCCATTTTTATCTATCTATGCCCAGATATGCCAATTCATAGGCTATTTAAAATTTCTTACTGCAATGCCAAATATTTTTTTTCTGCTTCCTCTTTCCGTAGCACCCTGAACTAGTCAGTGATTTCTATTCATCTTGTCCATATTTTGTCCACTCTCTACCTCTTCACTAATAAAACTTATTATTTAACTCCATCCTGTTCAATATTGCCAGTTATCCATTCCAACATCCTTTTATTTTTCCATCAGCATAAACAGCAAGAAACGTGCAAGGCAAAATTTTCATCTAAGGAATCTGACATGAATATGGCCGAAAGAAAGTGAGAGTCTTACATGAGATATGCTTCCATGGATAGCAGCTCTTTCTCGTAGTAACTGCACTCTTGGAGACATACTACCAGATGCCTGTAGGTGCACAAAAAACAAACCTCAATTTTGTGAAACAAAAACATGAGAACATATGACAGTTTTAAGAGTTCAATTGATGCTCACCTTGTACTCACTAATATCATCTCTGACTGAACTCAGAAGCTCTGCATGTTCCCTCATAGAGTTTATGTTTCCCTTGATTCGTCTAAACTCCTAAAGTAACGAATTTTATTTGCTCAATGAGACAGAAACCACTAAAATGCCAATTCTTAGCTCAAGAATGTAGATGTCATGTCCACAATGAAATTAAGATGTAAGGAATATAATAAAACGGGGAGCAGTCATAAAGGGGAAAAACTCTTGAAATAGAAGCTGTATGAAAGTTCCTAATATGCTACTGTTTTAGCATCCAACTAATCTGCTGATTAGTTAAATGGGACATAGGCAAAGATATGAACAAAATCAATTTTGGAGCAATTCGATATAGCATTTTTTCCTTATTTTTCTCCCCTATACTCTAATCTTTGAAGTGCTGTCTTGGGCTTTGCTATTCAATCATTACCGACAAGCTCCACAAATAATGCAACCACTGCCAACTAGAAAGAGAAATTTTGAATAAGATCTTAATTTGAACTTAGACGCCAATGGGAATAATATCAAAGAAGCTGGGGTATTAAGCTAGTGAAACTGAAAACAGTGATTGTGTGCATCTGTATTCAGAGGTATACGAGTTAGGCTCCTAAACTTCTCCTCACTTACTTCATTGCTCAAGACAAGCAGCACTCAAGCATGAATATTTTTAAATGCAACACACTTGAGTTTAAAATGACATCAGACTGACAATGAGATTCCACTTGCAGATGCAAGAAAATCTCAAAGATCTTATGATGTTTTATTTGGAACTTGACTACTTGAAAAAACCAACTGGATTCTTGACATTTAATGAACATAGCTTTCTATGAGATCAGATGCATACTGCTAAATTAAAATTACCCTTTGAAACTTAATTGAGTCCCACAAACTGACCATATAATCAACCAATAAAACCAAAATAAATAAATAAATAAAAAGAAGAAAAAACTGAAACGGATTTTGCCTGCTATTATGACAAGATGATAGAACTTAAGCACGAAGACATTAATAACCAAATCAAACTGTCTTCCCACTACAAATTATTAAAATGTCCACGCCAAAATCTCAACATTCCAATTAAGGTTCTTATACTCATTTTGTAATTTGTATTTCTTCTCCATTCTATACTCCTCCAATATTAATAAAGCCACATTTTCTAATTTTCCAATCGGAAAGAAGCCACATTAATCTAAAACAAAAAATCATTACCGGATTTCCCATCCGCATTGTTGCCAATACGTGCATCACAAACAACACGACAAAGAACTTTCCTAATACTTGATTTCAATTTTTTTTTTTTAAGGGAAAAAAAGAGCATAAAGAAATAATAGAAACAAAATCATAACAACAAATACCAAACCTGCGTAAACTCATGAAGTATATCTCTATGCCTTGCTAGCTTTTGAGTGACTGAAGTAGTTGGTGCTGCAGATGCAGCACATCTACTCATAGAATCATTTATATCTAGTAACTTCTCAAGTGACGATTGAATTTCCATTTCCATAGATTTCCATGACCTACTGGATCCAACTGTTGGCGAACCAGTTTCGACATAACCTAAATCACACTCAATAATCATCAATATCAATTCACTAATGACTAAAATTATTAAATTTCCAAGAAACAATTACCACATTATTACATTACTTAAATCGTAACTAATGGAAATAATTAAAAGGAAAAAGTGAATTCTAACCTCCTCCTCCTTGAGTGAATCGAGCGCCAAGTTTAGCATAAGAAGAGAGTTTGACATCGAGATCTCCTTCGATCTTTCTTGCTTCTCTTCTTAGCTCTTCCCAACCGGATTCTTGTAACTCTAGATTTGGATCCGTCATTTTGGATCCTCAGCGAATTCAAATCTGGATCCCACTACTGCTATTGCTTTGTTTCGTGATCCAACGGTACCACAGTTATTATAGTCACTGATTTGAAGTCTATTATCATTCTCCAGTTCTCGGCTAAACGTTAAAATACCCCTGGAATTTCTGATTTTATCCCCTAAACAATATGGATTTTTTTTTCCCTCTTCTATGGGGATCTAATGAAAAATTGACGAAAATGTCCTAAAAAATCCTCTTCCCTGGGAAATGGCTTTTATGGACGGCAATGATGGTGTTTGGAGGGCTTGGTGTCTGGTTCAATTGGTTTAGTATAGGTTTGGCTTGTTTGGGGGTCGAATTCCGACCAGAGAGAGTAATGGTTTTGTTGTTTTTAAATCTGAGTATTCCCTTTTCCATTGTAATTGTAGAGACCGGAGAGAAATGAATTAAAGGTTTTTTCGTCAATTAACTATTCAAAATCTAAAAAGGGACAAAATCAAAAAATTATATTGTTTAGAGGTAAAATTAGGAATTTTTTTTTGCTGTTAGGTATTTGTTTTCTTACTTAAGTTTATAAGGATATTATACAATTTAGCCCTGCTTCTATGCTTCATCACTGATCCCACTCGCAGGGCAAGAAAAGGGAGTGAGAGATGATGCCAATTTCTTACTGGGCCCGAAATGCTAAAGATTTTGATGGGACGTTAGGAAAACTAGATGGGCTTGAAGTTCCTGCCATAGCTGATTATATGAGATGAGACTTTGATTTGGGCCGAAATATAATGGCCTTTGACTCACTAAACCAGCTTGGAGAAAGCCTAGCCTGGATCCTTATAAGCTCAACCTAGCATCTCTGAATTATGAATCAAGAATTGCCAACTTTTTGGTTTCTAGACAGTTCAAATGGCTTGAGTTCATTCGAATTTGTTTCTGAAAACTAAAGTACCGTATAATAATTTTTCATACCTGCGTAAATTTAATTTCTATATAAAACGACACATTTTTCCAGCGAAAGTCAAAGTCGTCCCTTCTTTTTCCATCGATGCCATTACAGACTGAAATTCCAATTAATTCCCTCTTTTTTTATCATGCGGAAAAAGAACTTTCATTTTCACACAAAATGTGCTTCGAGTTATCTAACCATTTAAATAGGTGAAATCACTTGGTATTTTCCGCAATGAATATCGTTTTTTTTTTTTAAGTTCGTGCTTCAACATCAGAGATATAAAGTATCATAGGCATAAAAAGATTAGTTTACCAACTCGTATTTATAATACATTTCTTGGTTTGACTGACAAAAAAGTTTACTATTTTTTTTGGGAAAACATATTCAAACTGAAAGATTAATCGTTTATACATTCATTAAAAAAGAGGTTAATTGTACCTATCAATCATCAAACAAATATACAGTCCTAATCTTCTTGTTTTAAGGGGCAAAACATATTCAATTCAAAACCCTATTGAAAGCAATAAAACCTGACCCAACATGTTAGGCAGAATTCAGGAAAATCTATTCAACAGGCATGGCAATTTAGCATTAGCCAATAATCTTTCTAATACATGCCTGCGGTAACAAATTAAGGATTAAGTAACGTCATCAAAATACATCAAATATATCTTTAATGCGAGAGAAAGAGTACACAGACCGCAAAAAATAGCGATACGTCTCTATCCAGATGGCCAATCTAGCCATTTAAGTGGCGTAAATTTTAGCAAGTCTTCCTCTTCTAGCTAGGGAGCTTGCCGTGGTCAAAACTCAAACTAGCGATCATTTGCTACAAATTAAGAAAATCTTTCCCAGCTAAATCCAATACAAGGTCTGCATTCTACGTTTTAACTAGGCAGCCGAGTATTGGATACGTGCTCCTTAATTTAATATGGAAACACGAGGTAAAGACATGATAAACCATGTGTTAATTAGGTAACTGGTCATCGTCAATACGTGATTTCATTTAACGGTATAAAATAGTGATGGTTCGGTCTCTTTTGAGGGAAGAACGACCCGAATTTTAATTAGTAAAAATAAAATCTTTAAGCAAATTGTGATTAAATTAATTTGGATTGCGAAATTAAATATAACCATTCTCCTTCAATTTTTTAAATAATGCTACTTGGTAATTAAACAATAACACACCCATTCTAGTAAAAGAAAAAAATGATTGGTCCCTTTCTCTTTATTGTTATAACAATTAGTCTTATATCAGTTTATGTAATACTAAAATTAATTTCTTTACCGTTAAGATCTTAAATAGGTTATCTACATCTCACTCATGTATTGACAACAAATAATTAATGATTTTTATCTTCAATTTTCTTTTTAAATAATACAAATTATCGTTTAATAAGAAATGATGGGTGGTTTTTTGTGCTGGCTAGCTGGATGCATCCTCTCCTGTTCCATGCTGCACAAGAAATTAAAATTTTATCATGCGGCTGATGATCCAAGAAACAACTCACTGACGCCAAGTTATGCAATTAATTAAGAAAATATTTTAAAAAAATAATAATAACAAAGAAAAAAACAACAGGTCTTTAAATTATAAAGGCATGTACGGTACATGTGTACTTACAAATAAAATTAAGTAATGTAAACCGAAAAAGGTTTGGAAGGTTACATCTACTATGTATATTATGAGTGGTATAGTCAATGAAATTATTTTATTAATACCCTAAGAAACCGGTAAGACATGGCCATCAAAGTCCGCAACCGGCGTGGAAGTTTGAGCATAACTTTTCAAAGTATGTTGATAAGGATGAGGGGATCATATTCAATGACGCTGCTGTGTTTATCTTCAAATTTCAATATCATTTTCACACCCTAATTGTGTAGGGAGACGAGTTGTCCCTTGGCTCTACATTAAAGGTTACACAACAATATTGATGTTTGCATTATTTTATAATTTTTGTATTTGATTTTACGATAAAGATATTTTTAAATTAACTTGTAAATCAATAAAAATTAAAATTTTTAAATAATTTTAATGATACATTTCTTATACCAACTGGTATATTTACAAAAAATTAATAAATTTCTATAAATGTTATATATTATGTTGATATATCAAATGATCGATGAATTGGCAGGAACCGTTGAGCTTTATGATTAAGTGGTATCTTTTTGTCGATTTTCAGGCATTAAAACTATGTTTATTTGTCCGATTTAATCAAATATATGTTTTTTGTTGATAATTAATTGTATCTTGCGAGTCGGCTGGGAATGACTTTGGTTGTACGGATGGAGATTTGGATAGTGATCCCAAGCTTTTTGTCTTCTTAAACCTTTGAGAAGTTGCATCTTAGTGATATACTCGTGATTTTTTTTCCATTATGTATTGCCAGGTTCCAGAATAAAAAGGCACATGTAAGTTTTGTAGAGAACAAACTCGATAAAAACTAAAGACGTCAGGGAGAAATTTGTCAGGGCAAGTGTAGCATAATAATTGACGGTAGCCAACATTGGTGAGATTTCAAAAAATAATAAGTTAAAATTTATTTGTTTGGGTGTATGAGTTAAATTGAGTTTTAGGAGTCATTATTGAATATTAAAAGAATTAAAAACCTAAAAAAGACACTTGTTTAGAAAATTTAAGGTAAGGAGTTGGTTATATTTTTAGAAAGTATCAATCACTCTAAAGCATCATTTTCGAAAAAAGGAATCACGTCTGTTTTATTTCGAAAAATTTATCTTCTAAAAATTTTTATTTTTTTCAAATTATTTCTGAAGTCAAAATTTCAAGTTTATTACTTAAGTAAAATTTTTTTTGTGACATCATATCGAATCGATCATCGGACTTCGTCGTCATGAGTCTCATCAATTTAACATCGAATTTAGTTAAATTTTTGACATAATCGGTATGTCAAAGAACGACCTAATTACTAAAATATGATTGATTTAAACTAACATCATTTCTATTGGGTATGAGACTCATTAAAACTACTTAAAACACTTTGTTTTGTTTTTTCATGTTTTATTTCGAGCTATGCGAGTAAAAACATTATGAAAATTTTTTTTTTGTTTTATCTTTGGTGACATCGTATTAAATTAACGTCGAGTCTTAAAATTTGAGAGTCTCATAAATTTAGTATCGGAGTCTTAACATAATCAGTATGTCGAGGAACAACCTAATTAACTAAAAAAGTTTACATGAAATGTTAAATAAAATTGACTTGAATCAATTCCTTTTTTTTTAGCATTTTTATTGTTGGATAAAATATATAGAAACCATCGTCCTTCCTTAATAAATATGAGAATCGTTAGTCCAATATCACAATCGAATCAACTCCATACATTAAAATAAATTTCACAATCTAAATATCTATATGTTTTCTAAGACAAATAAAACTAACGTTATTACAAAATAATGACGTAAAATAATTTAAAAAAAGATAAGAAAATAAACCAAATGATCACTAATTAGTGACCAAAATGCCCCATGGAATGTTATTAAAAATTACCAAAATGCCTTTCAAGGAAAATTATCAAAATGCCCTTACATGTTAAAATTATGAAAATACCCCTCAAAGCTCCCAACGCTATTGCCGAGACGTTCGACCACCATTCGATCATCCTTCAAGAATGTCGACCAATTCACAAGTTGAAGGAGGTCATCACGAGCTTGTTTGTGGTGGTCTAGTTGGTCGTCATTGATGGAGGGGAGAGATCGAACTCCTCGAAGATTCAATCGTGACTCCCTTTCTTCGAATGAAGATTCCGACCACGATGAGGTAAAGGGAGACCGCCAAGTCGCTCGGAGGACCACGGGGAGCATTTCTATGGTGGTTAGTGAAGAATCATGCATCCTATGAAACGGCATCCAAATTTTTAACCTTTATTGATAATCCACACAACTTAAACACACATAAAAGAAATCCTCATAATTCATAGAGTGCTACCTCCAATCTTTCTAGATAGTTAATTTTACTTTAAAAATCAAATCGGGATTTTATACGACAATTCGAGCTTTTAAAAAAAAATGCGACAACTTTAGCTTTCGGGGAGGGAAACTCTATCTCTCTCGTTTTTTTTTTTCCTCTTTTTGTTGTGTATCACTCTCTCCTTGTTGTCATTGATGTCACCTCTCTCCTTTATATATAAAGGAGGTGGCGACAACATCTCCTAATGGGTTTAGTAGGTGTTGCTTATGTGGGCTTTATTTAACCTTATCTATATAAACCATGAACCTTATCCAATAAAGCTTATGTTCATCCTCCATCAAAGTATCTTATAGGATTTTAAATTAAGCTTATTCTTTCAAAAAATTTTGGCCTAATTAATTACTACTTAATTTGGACTATCCAAATAAATTAAGTTATATACTTTTAGGAGGCCCACATTAGGAATCAATTTTTCAAATTATCTTTAAATCTAAATTAGAAAACTAATTTTCTTTTTAGATAACTTACTTTCAAATTTGAAACTCGACTTTCAAATTAAAAAATTGACTTCTAAAATAGAAAAATTTTCATTTTGAGAAACTTTTCATTATAGGAAACTTTCCATTTTATGAAAATTTTCATTTTCAAAAACTTTTTTCCAAAATAAGAAACTTTCAAAAGTGAAAAATTTTTCCAACATCTTTGCTTCTCTTTCTTTTATGTGAATGCTTAAACTTATGTATGTGACTTAATAGACTCCTAGATATATTGGCAATATATCAAGAATAAAAGAGATCTTTTTTAACTCTTGATACATAAATCAAGATTGACCTCTAAAAAGATGTCATGACTACCCAATTTTTTAAAAGGATTAATTAATCCATGATTATTTTTTTCGAGTATGGTTAACATATAATTTAGTCCTCATGTCAATTTATCACAGTGTAGTCTCAAACTTGGTTATTAGTATGTTTGATTATGATCACACAAGTTTTTCTTTGATTCACAAATGTCTTAGCTCTTAGAGTACACCAACTATACTCTATTAGTGTACTCCCGCTCGTAGTCACATATTTTTTAAGCGTACATTTATTGAAGTACAATGTGATAACTCCTTTAGTGTACAAGGAACAACATATCGTATCTTAGTCATCACCTATCTCTATTAGATTTCTAGTGCACTCAATAAATTACCCATGTACGATCTTTTAATAGGTCCATGAAAACGAATATCAAAGTACATAAATTCTCTAATAAGATAACCGTGTTTAACTTTAAGTCAAAATACTAGTTGTACTCATCTCATATGAGATTCTTATAGAATAAATCAAATGGGTTCTTATGGTGAGTCAAGTCCAAGTAATATGTTCTTTAACATAAATCATCTAAGTGCTTAGTTTTGGCATCACTATGCCAATATGTGTGAAATCTCTTATTGCTATCTTATAGCATGAGTATAGCACTCACAAGTCTAACCGTATATAGTCAATGTCCATTATTAACAATACGATAATTTAAGACATGTAATGATATCATTTAAGTGCATTAATGCTTGTTTCACATATTTCGATCAATCATTAATGCAAATGCATATTATATAGACTTTTATCTAATTTTATTCAATAAATAAATATAAACAATAACAATTAATAGAAATACTTCTTTTATTATTGATAAAATAAACATTAGAATATTACAATAATGCAAACCATCCAATAAATGTTGGATCTTAGGCACCTACACTAACGAGTTAGGAGGCTCGATTTGATTGGATCGAGGAGAATTTGTTGGGTTCGGAAGAAACGAGTAAAAGAGTCGATCGATTCCTCTTGTCTTTGATTTGGCCAATTTCGATGAGATTTTGCCATGATTTCAAGAAAGAATAGCTTATAGGAGGATGAGGGACACTTCTATGGTGGTAGGGGTTATTGGTTTGGCCGAAAAATGATGATAATAGTGGATACATAACTAAGTCTCATCATCGACCTTCTCTCCTTGATTTCTCCATCCTCGATCGTCCGCTTCTTCCCCAACCATTCAAAAATAACGAATCTAGTGGTAGGCTATCAATTTGCGATGGTGCATCGAATCAATTTCGATCGAAGGATGACCGATTTGAGAGAGGAATGTCAATGAGTCCGTAGGTGAAGCTACGAGTGACCAAGGTTGATAGCCTCTTCTATGGACTCGTTTGATATAACCTTTTTTCCTTTTTTTTTTTTTTTTGTATCTTTCTCTTGGGATCTCGTTTCTTGCAAAAAAATTTAAAGAGAGAATGAATAGTGAAATTTTTGTATTTTAGTTCTTTTTTATTAGTTGGGGTGATGGGTATTTTAACTATATTATTTTGTGTAGGGGAATAATTATGGAGTGGGTTGCTTTTTTGGTAAGTAGATGGATGATGGAGGGTAAGTTTTTTTTTTAAAAAAAAAAAACATGAGTGAAGGCTAGGGTTTTTAGGTAGAGGAATAATTATGGAGGCTCTAAAAATGAGATGAAAGAGTGTTTATATAGGGATTTTGTTAGGGTTTGGAATAAAATCAATTTAGGTCCCTTTTTGGATTATTTTTCTCAATTTCAATGTATGTTTTATTATTTTTCTCCAATTAACTCCTTAATTGAAATTGTTTAATTCATATTTTCTTGAATTCTTTTAATTTTACACTCATTAATTCTCAATCGAGTTCCTTATTTTTTTTATCATTTTTCAATTACATCCCTAGTTGAATTTCACATAATCCCCGCTTTTCGCATATTATTCAATTGGATCTCAAATCATATTCTGAATTTTTTTATTACTTATTTCTCTTTCTTTAAAAAAAAATTAAAAGTGGAGAATAATTCTATAAAGTTAAAATACTAAAGGATTATAAAAATGCCTAAACGTCATGAAAAAGACAAACTATGCAATATTCCTTTTTTTTTCCTTTGAATTTCCCTTTTTGATTTTTCTTTAATTTTGTATGAAAATAAACGAGAGGATAAAAAGTGGGTTATTATAGTTGTCCCTTCTTTACAATGCTTATGACACAAAGTCAAACAAGAAGAATGTTTTTCAATGATTTTGCATAATATGCTTGTAAATAATTTTTTTTTTTTTTGCAATATTGGTCCGGTTGTTCTTGACGACTTTTTTTGAAAAAAGTAAAATGCGATAATCTCATTGTGAAAGACAATCCGCCTTGAAGATTTATTTTCATGGTGCTATTAATTTCTTGTAGCCAATGTCCGGATCCTTTGTTCGGTAGACCTTTTTCTTGTTATTTTATTTTATTTTTATTTTTATGGTTATTGTTTATAGTTAATTTTAATTTATTTTTATGGTACTAATAATTTGTTCTTTTTTTAATTTAACTCTTAATTTGGACTTGAACTTGATTTTATATTTCAAAATGATATGGCAGAGTTGAGGCCCATGTCTAATTTTTTTAGTTATTACAAACTTATAATTTTATTTTTTATGGCTTGCTAGGTGAATTTGGGCTTGGGCCCATGTTCATTTTATTTTTATTTTTTGCATTTGTGTGGGACTAAGATTTAATGTGCAATAGGCTTTTATCCTTAATTTTTACCTTTCCAAATGGGCTCCAATGGTCCAATAACATATTAGGCGAGAGATTAAGTTTTTTTTTTTTTTTTTTTTTAAGTCTCCAAATCACCTCCTTTGGGATTTGAATAGAAAAGATCCAAATAATCAATCACACAAATCAAGATAAAAAGATAATTTGCATGAATGAATTCTCTTAAACTAGAAATACAAGGTAACTTCATTGTGAATGCACTATAGGGTGATTAGTCTCGCTTAAGTTATGTAATCAAACACCTTACTTAGCATTGGTCTCAAGGGTTCCATTGCGATCGTCGAGGTCGGTGCTAAGTTTTTCTTTATTTTTATCTTTTTAAAAATTGAGTGGCGACTTTACACATATACATTTACATTTTTTTGTAATCTTCGAGAGGTCACCATATTATAAGCTTGTATGTGTTACATGTGTTTAAGTTCCGACCTATAAGGGACCTTTAGCATATTCCATGAAGAAATAAATTAAGAAAAAAATTGAAGTAAAAATAAATTAAATAAGAAAATAACTATTGCGAAACTTGAAAGAAAAAGTTTTTTTTTTCCTTTTTTTAGTATAATTGTCATGAGAGAGAATTTAGAAAGAAAGAAGAAAAAGATTTTTCTTAGTCTTTGTAAACTAACGATTTCGGCTATTATATATAAGTGAGTCGATGTGTAATTTTAAAATGTATAGAAGACAACTGTCGAGAGTTTTTTTTAGTGCGAGAGTGAATGTACAAAAGATTTTGAAATTGAAATTTTGGTATAAAAATCATAATTATATTTTTATATTAATTTTATATTGCAATAAATAATTACTTTCAAAATTCTAGAACAGACATGATTTTTCCAAACTATATTTTATCTTATATGGTCACTATTTTTTTTTTTTTTATTGAATTAGATTGCTCCTCGAAGCAGGGTTATTAATTTTCCAATAACAAAATACAAACTTCATCTCAAGGACAAGAAAGTAACTAAAGAAAAAGGAAAAGAAAGGAGCTTGGAACAGTATATGGATAGACATCATTTCATTAGATTACACGTGAGAAACGAAATCTCCAGAGTTCCTCCCCTTGAAAAACGTTCCCAAATATTTTGAAAGGCAAAACCGTTTAGATTTTCAACCGAACTTTCATGTTTTGTCTTGTATCATAAATTAATTATTTGGAAATAACAGGACTGGTTGGGGATAGAAAGAGACAGCCAAATGGCCACATAGGCGTCTCGGGTTTCATAATCTTTCGACCAAATCCCACCACTTTTAAAATCAACGTACGCAATGTCTGTCCAGATTTGAGCACGTAGCAAGATGAGCCCACCATTTTGGAATTTTCATGGCATTAGCTTTTGTGGCTATGGTCTCATATCAGCATCAGCCTTTGTTGTTTGTATAAGGCAAAAGTACATACAGTGTACGGGCCTACGGAGTTTTGGACCTTTCTGCTTTACTGCTTCAAACGCACTAAAATAGCCCTACAATCACTTTTATTGATTTTTTATTTTTTTCCAATGGGCAATCTTAGGGTGTGAGCACAATTGACCTATAGAAAGATATTTGCAAATCTATGAAGGAGACTTGTGCCACAGTGTCACTGTTTTATGCCGTGTGTTATGCTCTTGATGCTTGAGCTCAGGTAGCAAGTGAAGAATTTGCTTTGCTTGTCATCCTTAGTACGAGATTAAAAAGTAAATGGGAATTAGTTACAAAAGTAATTATTACATGTATAATCATCAAGGGTGTAAAAATTAGTTTTATAAAAATGTTTTTGGTATATTTAATAATTTAAAGGATAAATTATTGATAGAAAGAGAGATACAATAAGTAATCCACTAGCAATGACTATGGATTGAGAAATAGAAAAAAATATTATTTTATTGTGTATTTTGATTCCAAAAGAAAGTAAAAGAGATGAAAAAAAAGTTTGGAAGGTTAAATTTTAACCTCGTCGCTTGGAAGTCAAAATTTAACCTCCAAAAAGACCAACATGGCATAATAGCTATCTCCCTTCAAATTTCATCCATGACAAAACACAAAAGAAACAAACTTAATTGATATAAGAGTAATTTTGGATAATTACTTAAAAAACCTCCTAAAAGAAATTTCTATCTAAAAAACCCAACAATATATTTTTGAATTTGTCAAACCCAAAAAAAAAATATTTTTATCAAAACATCCGATAGTTAACTCTCAACTTAACACTAGTTAATATAATTTAGTTGTTGACTAAAATATCCTTTAATATAATCAAAACCCTATTTATTTCTCTAATATTTTTGTCGATTGATCATAGATGACAAAACAATAAAAATCACCAAACACATATAATACACAAATCTAGTGAACTTTTCATCCTTCTAAGGTTTTAACTATATTTCTCAAGGTACGTTACATTCTTTTTCAATAACGATTTTTGGAATAAAATAAATGACTTTCATGATCCGAACTTCGGTCTTGCTTAGGGAAATTCAAATATCATAGCACCGACTCAATTCGTCAAAACCCCACTCGGGTATTTCATCTCACTCGGATTTTTGTGTTTTCAATTTCCACCAAATCTCTGCTTTAATCTAGAAAAAGAGAAAGATGATAGTGACGGGTTTAGGTTTGGGCCGGAACTCGTTTGGTTCTTGTCGAAGAGATCTCATTCCAAAAACTAAGAAAATTGGGAGGTAGTTGGATTTGACATCCGGGAAGAACGGAAGACAAGAGAATAATAGGAATGGGAGAGAGAGAGAGAGAGAGGGCCGAGCTTTGTTTTGATCTAAAAAGTAGAGAGAAACATTTTCGACCTCTGTTTGTGGACTTAGTCCACCTGAACGTGTTAGGTTTAGACTAAATGAAAGTCTAGGTTGTCATTTTCCTAATAGGCCCATGAGCGGTACTTAATGTGACTATAATATTGCCTACAATGCGTTTGGGATCATTTTTAATATCATGGGTCTATCATTTGCAATTAACTTGAGTTCACTCGCACAAGTCATCAACCGTCATTTTATTTTACAAGTATATTTTTAATATAAAAGGAGAAAGAAATGAACTTGAAAATTCTCAAATCTAAAAGTAGGAATAACTATATATGAGAAACAATCCTTTACCTTCGATCAACTTCAACCGGATGGAGCACAAGAAGAGAAACGAGAAGTGAAGCAATAAGAAGCTTCGAAATAGCCATTGCTAAAGCTTAATTTGAATCCTAGAGACCTTTTAATGTTGCTTCGAATATAATTGAATTCCGTTTGTTTAATTGCATGAAATGGTAGAAAGAGTGTCGTCGTTTTTAGGCGGATTTTAAGAATAAAATTAAAGAGTAGGTGCATGCAAGGATGAGACATCCTGTTGGCATATGAAAAGGAAATTACAATTAACATTTTCTTATCCTTGTTAGTGAAAAAGAAAAACAAGGAGGAACCTTGAAAAGAATTACAATCAAATATCATGGTCGACTAGATTCTCTCTAAAAAAGTTGAAAAAATAGCAATAACACTTTAAAATAATGGATTGAATGATCTCAATTATTCAACTTGGCATTAATTCTCTCCCATTTGTTCTTACAAAAACCTATTCTAAGTTGTTGGTAATTGTTAGTTTTATATTTATTTGATTTGTCACTCTAATTTGGTATTCAAAAAACAAGACATGACACCAAAGCTAATTGTAGTTTGTAGATTTGGTGGAGAATTTTGTCAAGATGAAAGTAAGGAAGCCTATATTGGAGGACAAGCCTACGTTATTGAAGTTGGCGAGGAGATGATGCCGACTTCGTTATTGATAATGTGGCTGCATTTTTCAATTTAGAAAAGTCCACAATTTCATTCAAAGTACTACATTTCATATAATGGACGTGTGCTTATTTCTTTAAATGACGATGCCAATTTGAAATACTTCATTAGATTGTTTAAAGATGAAATAGCAGTAGAATTATATGTTACAAACAAGTAAAAAATAATCAATTTACATTCTTTATCTATCTCTTTACTTACTTTAAAAGCATTATATGACAACTTGCTAGCTAAACTTATTGCAATATCATGTATATGCGGGATATCGGATTTTCAATTGCACTCTAATAACAATGGTTGTGACATACTAGAACATGAGCCTAAGATGTTATTATCTTGGAAAAATGTGATAACCGGGGAAGGTTAAATGTTTGACGGAGTAAATCAATTTCGAGAAGCACTAAAGAAGTATGCTATTGCTCATCACTTTGTTTATAAATATTTGAAGAACAAGCCACGTTGAGTTATAGTAAAATGCAAAGAAAATCGGTGCAATTAAAGGATACAAGCATCCGAGATACAAAGTACAAATGTGTTTACTCGTGAGGAAGTTTAATAAATATCATTCTTGTGATCCATGCATACACACAAAGACTCACCCTCAAGCTAGTAAAAAGTTAATTGCAAATTTGGTGCAAGATAAATTGACGGACACTCCAAATTACTATGCTAGAGAGATTATTAATGACATCCGATGTGAATATGGAGTTTCATTAAGTTATCAACAAGCGTATAAAGGGAAAGAAATTGTAAGCCAAATAACACATGGTTCACGTGAAGATTCATTTTCTCAATTTTTTTGGTTATGTTCAAAGATTCTAGAAACAAATCTAGGTAGTCAAGTTGCGTGGGAAACATAAAAAGATAACGAGGTTCTTACAACTCTTTATCTCTTTTCATGCACAAATTGTTGGATTCAATAATGCTTGTCATCCATTATTATTCATAGATGGAACATTTGGAAATGATCACTACAAAAGTACTTGTCGTTGTCGCAATTACTATCGATGCCAATGATCGGTTATTTCTCCTTACTTTTAGTATTGTTCTTGGTGAGACTTAATCAAATTGGCATTGGTTTTTATCTAACTTAAAGACTATTTTAGAAGGCACGGAGGGCTTAACTATTATTTTTGATCGACATGTGGGTTTGATTGATTCCGTCATAAAGGTATTTCCAAATTGCTACCATGCTTATTGTATTCGTCCTATAATTGCCGACTTGATTGGTCATTTATCAAGAAAAGTTAGAAAAGGCACAAGAAAGATGATAAAAAAGTACATTTATAGAGCGACCAATTACGTTACAATTGAAGAACTTAACAAAAATCTTGACAAGATTAAAAAAATCTCTCTAGAAGCATAAAAATGGTTAGTGAAAGATTCGGAGGTATATCGGTGGGTAGAAGTTTTTACAAATGGTTGTAGGTTTGGAAATTTAACAACAAATATTATAGAAAGTTTTAATAGTTGGATACTTGAAGCACGAACTCTTCCTATCATCCCAATGGTAAATAATATTCGAAAAAAATTGATGGTAATGTTCTATAGACGTAGAGAAGAATCAATCGTATGGCCAAAATCTTTTACACTAGTTGTGGAAAACGTAATTAGAAAGAATGTTTTACAATCTCTTATTTGTCGAGTTTCTCCTTCAAATCAAAATCTATTTGAGTTTGACAATGGTAAGAGACATGCAATGAACTTAGGGACTATAAGTTGTACTTGTAAAACATGAAACACAACCAAGCTCGCATGTGTTTATATCGCCAAGGTTTGTGAATAAACAAAAAGAAACATAATGAATTATTGTTCTCCATATTTCAAAACCGAGCTATGGAGATTAGCATATCCGAGTCTATTAACCCGGTACCTAATGATGACATGCCAACTATTTTTCATGATGATCTTCAAAAAACTCCAAAACAAACTCTTATACTTCCACTGCGGACACGTCCATACCCCGATCGATAAAAAAAAAGAGAATTGAATCACAAGCGAGCCTAAAAGACCATTACATTGTAGCAAGTGGAAAAATATGGGTCATAATCGCTTGACTTGTAACAAAAAAATTTAGATGAATCGTATATTTAAAGGGTAGTTGGTCTATGAAAAATAATTTGAAAGTTGTCATTCTCCTTACTTTTAGAATTTTTCTTTTTGTTCTATTTTTAGAACTTACATGTGATTAGCAGTGTAAAAATATGGTTCATAATCACTTGACTTGCAATAAAACAGTTAAGATGAATCGATTATTTAAAAGGTAGTTGATCTATGATAAATACTTTGAAATTTGACATTTTAGCACGTGATTAGAAAGAATATTTTACAATCTCTTATCTCGTCGAGTTTCTCCTTCAAATCAAAATCTATTTGAGGTTGACGATGATAAGAGACATGCAATGAACTTAAGGACAATGAGTTGTAGTTGTAAAACATGGAACACAACTAAGCTTGCAAGTGTTCATATCACCAAGGTTTATGAAGAAACAAGAAGAAATGTAATGAATTATTGTTCTCTATATTTCAAAACCGAGCTATGGAGATTAGCATATGTAGAGTCTATTAATCCAGTACTCGATGATGACATGCCAACTATTTTTCATGATGATATTCAAGAAACTCCAAAACAAACTCTTATACTTCCACCGTAGACACGTCCATGCCTTGATCGACCAAAAAGAAGAGAATTGGATCATAAGCGAGCCTAAAAGACCATTACATTGTAGTAAGTGTAAAAATATGGGTCATAATCGCTTAACTCTGTAAAAAAGTAGTTTAGATGAATCGATTATTTAAAGGGTTGTTGGTCCGTGAAAAATACTTTGAAAGTTGACATTCTCTTTATTTTTAAAATTTTTCTTTTTGTTCTATTTTTAGGACTTGCATGCGATTAACGAGTGTAAAAATATGGTTCATAATTGCTTGACTTGCAATAAAGCGAGGTTAGATGAATCGATTATTTAAAGGGTAGTTGATCTATGACAAATACTTTAAAAGTTGACATTGTAGCACGTGATTAGAAAGAATGTTTTATAATCTCTTATCTGTTGAGTTTCTCCTTCAAATCAAAATCTATTTGAGGTTGACGATGGTAAGAGATATGTAATGAACTTAGGGACCATGAGTTGTAGTTGTAAAACATGAAACATAACCAAGCTTGCATGTGTTCATGTCACCAAGGTTTGTGAAGAAACAAGAAGAAACATAATGAATTATTGTTCTCCATATTTCAAAACCGAGTTATAGAGATTAGCATATGCGAGTCTATTAATCCGAGTACTCGATGATGACATGCCAACTATTTTTCATGATGATCTTCAAGAAAATCAAAACAAACTCTTATACTTTCATCGCGAGCACGTTCATGCCTCGATCGACCAAAAAGAAGAGAATTGAATCACAAGCGGAGCCTAAAAAACCATTACATTGTAGCGAGTGTAAAAATATGGGTCATAATCGCTTAACTTGCAACAAAGCGAGTTTAGATGAATCGATTATTTAAAGGGTAATTGGTCTATGAAAAATACTTTGAAAGTTGACATTCTCCTTACTTTTAGAATTTTTCTTTTTTTCTATTTTTAGGACTTGCATGTGATTAGTAGGTGTAAAAATATGGTTCATAATCACTTGACTTACAATAAAGTAGTTTAGATGAATCGATTATTTAAAAGGTAGTTGGTCTATGACAAATACTTTAAAAGTTGACATTGTAGCACGTGATTAGAAATAATGTTTTACAATCTCTTATCCGTCGAGTTTTTCCTTCAAATCAAAATCTATTTGAGGTTAACGATGGTAAGAGACATGTAATAAACTTAGAGACCATGAGTTGTAGTTGTAAAACATGGAACAAACCATGCTTGCATGTGTTCATGTCGCCGAGGTTTGTGAAGAAACAAGAAGAAACATAATGAATTATTGTTCTCCATATTTCAAAACCGAGCTTTGGAGATTAGGATATGCGAGAGGCTATTAATCCAATGAATCGATGATGACATGCCAACTATTTTTCATGATGATCTTCAAGAAACTCCAAAACAAACTCTTATACTTCCACCGCAGACACGTCCATGCTCCGATCGACCAAAAAATAAGAGAATTAAATCACAAACAGAGCCTCAAAGACCATTGCATTGTAACAGTGTAAAAATATGGGTCATAATCGCTTGACTTACAACAAAGAAATTTAGATGAATCAATTATTTAAAGGGTAGTTGGTCTATGAAAAATACTTTGAAAGTTGACATTCTACTTACTTTTAGAATTTTTCTTTTTGTTCTATTTTTAGGACTTGCATGTGATTAGTAGGTGTAAAAATATGGGTCATAATCACTTGACTTGTAATAAAGCGAGTTTAGATGAATCGATTATTTAAACGATTGTTGGTCTA